AGTTTGCCTTGCTAAAGCTCCAGGCGCCGGTAACTGTGATTTCCGAAACTGGAAGGGGCCCGAGCGAGGGGAATGACGGTAGTTTTGCCACTTGCTCTGCAAAAGGCGTAAGAAACCGGGGCTTGCACGCATCCCGGCTAGCATTTCCAGGGGCAGACTGGAACTGCCCTGCCTCCTCCTTCCCAGGGCAGTCCAGTCCACTCATCTCCGTCAAACGCTGCTCCAAGGGGAAGGGAGACCCTGAGGAATCACCGGGAGAGGGGAGTGCGTAGTAGGAAGGGGGGATCGGTGGGAATTGCCAGTTAGGCTGGGTCCACCCAGGGATTCCCGGCTAGTGGGGGGGGGCACCCAAGACAAAAGTCTTCATCTTCACACACAAGGGAGAGCAAGAAAAACAGACGGCGTCTCCACATCGTCCAAGCGCTCGATGTAGCCAAAGCCCCCCCCCCCCGCGCCCCACTTCCTTCTCACTCCAGAGGGCCTAAGTAACCCACCCCCCCCCCCCCCCCCGGGCTTCTTCCTTTCCCTTGAAAGCGAATCTGGGGTCCCGGTCACGTTCCAAGCGGAGCCGAGACATTCCCTTTGATCAGCAGTCTGATTCAAGCAAACCCATTTTCAGGCGGAGTGTTGGATTTCGTCTTTTCCCGGCTGCTTAGTGGATTGGTGAGGCGGGGTGGGGGTGGGGAGAGCGTGAGATGAATGCTAAGGCGCCGGGAAACAATAGAGACAAAGGGCCTCTTACGGAAGGCAGACCCCTCCTCTTCCCCCCAGCCTCCCCCCAGACAACAAACGAGTTTGGTGGTTGCATCTGAAGGAGCTGAATGGGGACGGGGCTCAGTTCCAGAAGAGGCCCAGTGTCATTTTTAAGGACTGTATTACAGAAGGTGCTACGGAATTATTAGGAAAAGTCTGTTTTGTGAGCGTGGGAATTCTTTTGGGGGGTGGGTGGGAGGAAGACATAGCAGGGCTGCGAGTGGAGGAGGGGAAAGATTTGCTTCCCCCACCTCTTTTAAAGAGCACCTCTTTGAGATAAACCAATCTGACTAACTCCCTGCTCTTTAATGACCATTGTTTTGGATAAAATACAATCATGAGGTTTAGAGAGTTATTAAAGTAGCTTTACTTTCCACCCCACCCCATCCTCCTTCAGTATGTGCACAGCTGCTTGATCTGTGTTGGTGATTGTAAAGAAACAGCCCTTAACGTGATGGACAGAACAGATTTCTTAAACTGGAATAAAAACTGTGATCTTGCCTAGGCGTCCTGTTGGTGGTGGTGGCGGCGGCAGTGGGGTGGGGGGACATAAATGGAAGCCCCCCCCACCAGCTCTCCACCAAGTGATCCAGCTCTCCAGGGACCATTTCCCATCTGATTTAGGATTAAAGGGAAACACCTCCAAAGGCCTTGCAGTTCATGCTTTGTTGTTTGTGAGGAAAGCCCCTCCATCAATTTATTCCAGGTTCCAAACACGTGAATGAGAGGGGGTGGAGGTGCCTTACTATGTCTGCAATGCGTAGGATTCCAGCAAGTGTCAGTAGCAACACATGGAAAACAGGGAGGGGGTGGATCCCCTCTGTGAGATCATTGAAATAGGAACCCCCTTTCTGGTCAGGTCAGTTTAAAAGGGTTCTGCTCTGTTATTACACGGAGAACATGTTTTTAAAATATCTCAAGCGTGGGGGGGGAGCTATTTCTTATGTCTGTCTATTTTTAGATCTCAGTCCACTATAGTAGTCTCCGAATGCTCCTATTTGATCTTCACAATAAAGCTGTTAGGAGACTCACTGTTGTTCCTGGTTTACAGATGGAGAATTGAGGCAGAAAAGGAGCAACTGAGAGACTGACACACTGAGAAATTAAACTCATGTCACTGAACAACACTATACTTAAGTTCCATAAAGTTTATTTATTATTGCTGTCTTATCTTACTTAGAAGGATCAGGGTAAGATTTTACCAAGTGACCTGAGAAACCTAGGAATTGAAAACTTTTTATTTCCTAAACTTCACTAGTAAAACTTAGAAATCCTTGAAGGGAGGGGGAATGGGAAAGGAATTCTCCTCCAAAATTCTGTCTCTGCCCATAAAGACAGAAAGGTATTAATTTCCAAACTGCTCCAATCTAATCAGGATTGCTTTCTTGCATCTATAATAAAATCAATACGGGTCAATTCTGTGTATGAATGCTGAGTCCAAAATATGTGGCTTTGTTTGCTAGGCTGAATATGGTTATTTGGGAGTAAGTCCTATTGAACTCAGTAGGATCTTTTCCCCCCATGAGCAAAACACAGAGAGGATCACATTGCACATAGTGTAAACACTCAAAAACATTTTACTCTTCTCCTTCAGCATTTCTAGTCTAAATGAGGACAGAGTGATTTCTTTGCCTAGAAATTATACATCTCTGTTTACACCATATGAAGCCAGATACAAATAGAGCATTTTTAAAAGGGCAAATAAAATGCAATTGGGTACAGTTGGATGTGCAGAGGAAGAGATCAGTTTAAGCTCCCAACTCTTGCTTGCAATCAGATTAATTCCTGATTTATGTCTCTGTTGCTATATAACAAGAGTGGAATTCTGGCTAAAGACCCACAGAGGCCAGACAACACTGAAACTGTCTGCAGTACTTCCAAATTATTGCTCAAACCTTCAGCTCTTGAAAGCTTTTCTCTGCAGCTTGCTTTGTTCAGCATTTGCCCTCCCTGGGTTAGGAAATTACCTTTGCTTTGACAATTTGCAAAAGCCTTTATGGCTCCCCTCTCTGTTCATGCTCACAACAGGTTTGCAAAGTAGGCCATTGCTGCTCCTTTCCCGCAACATATTTATTGACCCCATTTTTATACCCCGTCTTTTCAAAATTTGGCACTGCTTCCAATTCAATACTCAATTGATAAGAATACAAAGAAAACAAATGAAAAGCAGGAAATGCAAGTGAATCAGCTGTAAGAGCAATCCTGGCCCTGGATGCTCCCACAGTAGCCATGGACCTTCCAGAAAAGGCAGGTTTCATATCCCCTCTAACCAGCCACAAGATCAGCACTCTGAACCTAACTAGAGATGACATTCCCAGCTTTCTTCTAAAGGCCATCCTCCTTGTCATAGAATCATAGAGTTGAAAGGGATCTCCAGGGTCATCTAGTCCAACCCTGGTGGGTCATCTAGTCCAAGCATGGATGTCCTTCCTTCACATGGTGAGGGCAAGCAGAGGACAGACAAACCTGCAGAACATCAAGGGTCTCATACGGGGATTAGACCAGTGGTCTATCTAGTCCAGCATCCCATCTCACACAGTGACCAACCAGTTCCTCTGGAGGTTCAGTGATAGGGCACAGAGGCTGAGGCCTTCCCCCAGTGTTGCCTCCTGGCTTTGGGATTCGAATGCGGAGATTCCCTTTAGTCACCATGGCTAGTAGCCACTGATAGGCCTATCTGCAGGGGTCATTTCCTGTGGAGCGGAGCTCTGGCAGTACTCCTTACTGCCAGGGGGTGGGCACATGCAACAAGCCCCACCCCCTGCTCCCAGCAGCCCTCAGTCAGGCTACGAGGAACAAGAAGCAGCCAGGTAAGTTGCAGAGCCCCCCCCCCGGCCCGCCTTCAGGTACAAGCTCTCCCTCCTCTCTGAGGGCAGATCTGCGCGTCCCCCCCCCCCATAGCTAGCAATCCAAAACAGTCCAGTGGCACCTTTAAGACCAAGTTTTATTCAGGTACAAGCTCTCCCTCCTCTGCAAGGACAGATCTGCACGTTCCCCCCCACCCAATAGCTAGCAATCCAAAACAGTCCAGTGGAGCCTGAGCTTCTGGTGATGTCAGGGGGTGTGGCATATGCAAATAAGTTATGCTAATAAGTTATGTTAATGAGCTCCTGCGCCTCTTTTTCTACAAAATGACCCCTCTGCCATAATTTATCTGGTCCTCTTTTAAAACTATCTGTGCCTGCAGGCATGGCTACATCCTCATGAAATCTACATTTAAATCACCCATTGAGTAAAAAAGTGCTTCCTTTTGTCTGACTTGAATCTACTGCCCATCAACTCCATTAGGTGTTCTTCTTGGGATATTTGGTTAATACAGCAGAGTTTGCCCAGTCACAGGAGCATAATATAGAGTGCAGAAAATAAATCTCCCAAGAAGTATATTACAAAATAAAACTTACATTTATTCAAGTAGATTCAGTTCACAGTCAGGTTGCAGTCAAAAGGAAAGAGAGAAGCCTAAGCTAAAGAGTACTTTCACAATCACAAGTAGGAGGGAATTGTTTCTACAGGAGAGACCTGTAGAAGAAGAAGAAGAGAAGAAGAGATTGGATTTATGCCTCGCCCTTCACTACCCAAAGGTGTCTCAGAGCGGCTTACCAACTCCTTTCCCTTCCCCTCCCCACAACAGACACCCTGTGAGGTGGGCGGGGCTGAGAGAACTCTTGAAAGAAACTGCTCTTTTTCAAGAACAGCTGTGCCAGAGCTTGTGACTGACCCAAGGTCACATCAGCAGGTGCAAGTGGAGGAGTGGGGAATCAAACCCGGTTCTCCCAGATTAGGGTCCGCACACTTAACCACTACACCAAACCCTGTGACTCCATGCAGAACCATGCAGAGAATGGAGAGAACAAAGGGCCAAAGAGAGAGGGGAGAGGGCAGCTCCCAGGTTAAAACAAAGCAAGAGACACCCCCATTCAAGGAGACAGCACTTAGACACACGTAGAATGATGTCATGCCCCCCAATGTCCAGCCATGTGAAGTTGCTCCCTCCAACAGTTCTCAAGTTCAATTATTTTGGGAGATGGAGAAGACATTCTCTCTGTCCAATCTGTCTCTCAGTTGGGATCCTGAAGGAAGGACCAAGTCACAGTGCTGCTGGCAGCTCATGC